GGGCCTTCCACGCGTGGGTGGCTGGGGGCTCCCGGCGCTGTGGGGGCGTGGGTGCCGTCCCCTTGTTAGAGGAGCTTTTTCCTCACCTGGTAGCGAGTTGCGGGCGATGGTGTTAAATCTGGGTAAGGAAAGGGTTTGCTCCCTTTATTTGGAGATGCTGTATGCGCTATCTGCGGCGCATGCGGTTACGATTTTGTGCATCTCGTTAGGCCTTTAATCTGGGATGCGAGGTAGAGGCAGCTGATGGTGCAGTTCTTAAGGCGTCTTAAAGCTCTATATTTTGTTATCACTTAGAAGATGGCTCAGGGTTTTGTTCTTTTTTTTTTTTTTCCCCCCCCCTCTTTTCGTGTAAATGCCAGGGGAGGCCGTACCGGTGCTTCCCATTCTTTCATCTCAGCAGGGTTTTGCCCTTTCTCCCAGCGTGGCTCTGACAGCCGGCTCAGCGCTGGTGCCTGTAGAATACAAACAACCCTCCCTGTTGTAGAGCCATGACGGGAATTTATTCCAGGGCTGGGGGTTTGGGGTTGTAAAGCTCTATATTTTGTTATCACTTAGAAGATGGCTCAGGGTTTTGTTCTTTTTTTTTTTTTTTTTTCCCCCCTCTCTTTTCAAGTAGAAGTGGTCTAAGGGGAAAGTGAGAGACAAGTTGAACAACCTTGTCCTGTTTGACAAGGCCACCTATGACAAACTGTGCAAAGAAGTGCCCAACTACAAGCTCATCACACCTGCAGTTGTTTCAGAGAGACTGAAGATTCGAGGCTCTCTGGCTAGGGCTGCCCTTCAGGAGCTGCTCAGCAAAGGTAAGTGCTCAAAACACTGGAAAACCAGAAAGCAGCTTGAATTGGATGTTTTCTTCTCCCTGCTCACCTAGAACGTTTTGTGCTGCCTCTGAAGTACGCACATTGATGTGTTTTTGACGAGCCGCGGCCCTGCTGCATTCAGTGGCCTCGCTATACCAAGAAAATGCTGCCAGAAGGACGGGTTGTGGCGTAACCGCTGCCAGACCCAAACGGAAGCCTTGTATAAGCGCGTGCATTGGGTAGCCTGGTATTTCCTATCAGACGTTGTCCAGTCTGCTGCTTTAGAAGGCAGCACGTCCCCGGCACCCTCCAGTACATGCGTGGTCAGATCGTTTCCTTTTTTCGTAGGTTTGATCAAACTGGTGTCCAAGCACCGAGCCCAAGTGATCTACACCAGAAACACAAAAGGTGGAGATGCGCCTGCGGCAGGGGAGGACGCGTAGGGAGGTGAGACGGCGGGCTCTGTGAAGGAGCTGGGTTGTGCTTTGTCAGGGTCTAACGAAGGGCTGCACGCCGCGTAACAGACAACTCCCGCTTGCTTTGGATGGGCCCTTTCTCCAGGCTTCCAAGGATGTTGCTCGTGCTCCGAGCGACTTCCTGGGTGGCGTTACTGGGAATGCCAGTTCTCTAAAAGTAAAGAGCAGTTTGCCATTTTGTCCCTGTTGCCTGACAGGGAAAGCTGTGTGTGCTCTCCTGTCTCTGTGGGCTGCGGGGACAAGGGCACATGTCCCTCCCTGCTGCCAGAGGGCGCCGCATCCAAGTGTTCTTGTTGGAGCAGAGCTTTCGGAGAGTTTGCTTTTGTGCTAACTTGTTTTGAGCTGGTTGTCTGATTTGGGACTTCTTGCCTTGCAGGTTCTCCAGTGACCTCCTCAACAATGTGTCATATGTAGATGCACACAATAAAATTATTGAAATAACTTTTCTTGCTTTTTCAAGAACGTGTACGTTTCATTATTGACGCATTATTGATAGTGGATTCTGGTACAGGTCACAGCTGTCTTCCTCCAGCGTCGAGTTTTTGCATTTATACAGTGTCAAGGATGTACCGAGAACATGTTTTTATACTGCAAGAAGGGAAAGACCTTCTGCATCACCGACAGCTATGTTAAACCATATTTGGTTTTAGTAGGAGGAAAATTGAAGCTGTTTCTTGCATTGTAGGCGGGGAAGGTGCTAGTGGGGTATTATTTCCATTACTTATTTACGCACCCTCTAAACAAGCCCTGCCCTCTGTGTGGACAAGGCAGTGGCATCTACCGGGTCCATGTCTAGTGGGGAAGCACAGAAAAGCGTCTCTAAATAAGGCTGTAAGTATTTTATTTAAATGAAAAGGAAGAACTGCCCACAGCAAGGATCTTTAAGGCCTCTTTTCTTCTACTGAGGACTAACTAGGTGTCCGTTAGGTGAGGCCAAAGGAGTGAAAGTAGCATGAGAATGAAAACATCAGGTGCCCCACAGCGGGCCCCACATGTGAAACAAGGTTCTGTTGGTTTATCAACACAGGTAATTTAAAAAAAAAAGTTTATTTCTCAAAAATTTCTTTAAGGGTTAGATGTCATGCTACGTGTCAGCATAGGATGCTGGCAGCACGTGCTGCGTAAGGCAGGCTTTCTGAGTATGGAGATATGGCAGGATCTGCCTTTGCGCAGCTTAAGGCTTGAGAAATCGGTGTCCAGATACATGCCGCGTGTCCATTACAGGGGGAGTGGGCCTGCTGTGACGCCCCCCGGCAGAGCAGCCTTCAGTAACAGTGTTGAACTCGGTATGAGGCTGTGGTCGCCCTGCCTGCCAGGGGACCCCACGCATCTGGGTGTCTGTATTAAACAGCAGCACGAAACGTGGCAGCACCAGCAAAGCTGCAGCTGCCCGCAGTCCACCCTCCTGCAACAGTCACAGCTTGGCTTCTTCGGTGCTCCTCTTCTGATCACCTTTTTTTCTTCTTTTCCCCTGATTCAGTTCTAAACTGATGCCTGAAAGAGAGCGTAGACGTCAGAACGCGACAGCCTTTAGAAAGAGGTAACGAACACTGCCTTACCTAGCAAGTGAGTGATCTGCGTAGCGTTTTAGAAGGGCAGCTCGCCCCGTTACTTTTTTCCCAGTTCTCTCAGTCAGCCGTAGCCGTCTCCTCAGCTAGCTGACGCAGATTTCTAGTGTGTTACAAGGCTCCAGCGGCACAAGCGTGCGTATGCGCACCGGTGCGTGGGTCCAAAAGGCGCGCCAAGCTCAACGAGGCAGATGCCTTCGCGTGTGTGGCCCCTGCCGCCCCGACTGTGCTTCGCCTTGCAAGTCAGGCGTGTGCCGCGGCAGGGCCAGAGCGACGCTCTGCCTGGATGCAACCGTGGGGCGTAACTCTCGTGCTGGAAGACGCCTCCTGACGCGTGCTGCTACCGCAAAGCCTGCTCTGGGAGTAGCTTGCGTGGAAGGAAGCCGCGTGCCCTCCGCTCGGCACTGGTCCATGCTGCCCCGAAGCCTACCTGGACTGCCACCTCCTGCCGTGATTCCAAACGCGCCCGAAGGAAGGGAGCCAGCTGTCGCCTGTCTGAGAGGTATGGTCAAAGTTGGCACCAACACGCTCCGCTGGGAGTTTTTTCAGCTTCTGCTTCTCCTCTAAAAAGAGACGTTGTTAAGCGGAAGATTTTCAAACAGCTTTTGATTCTCTAGTATGGTAAAGCGAACGTAAGGTTAGCTGAAACATATACAACCCCCTCACTTTGTTTGAGAAATTCCTCGTACGAAGGTCCAATCTGTTGTTTACTTCCATCCTCTTCCTCTTCCTCTGTTAGCCATGGAGGTTTTGCCCCTAGAAGTCACGGGGAAGATGTATTTAGGCACTGAAGTTACCCTAGGCTTGAGATAGGGAGAAGCATCCCCTCCACCCCCTGTCCCTGCAGCGTGCCCTGCCAAGTAAGCGGTGAGGGAAAAGCAAACCTCGGGCTCTGTAAGAAAAAGAAGCTGGCCTGCCTCGGCAAAGGCCGTGGCAGATCACGCCCTGAACCATACACGCCACGCAGCACTAGCACCGAAAGAGTTTTCGTAACGGAAGCATTTTCTTCTCCTTGGGTATGTCAAATGTGAGCAAAGGAGCGAGCACCTCCTGGTTGTGCTGTAACGCCTTCAAAACTGCTTTCAGTTATCCCCATTCCATTTGCAAGCCGGTTTTCAGTAGGGTAGCAACCCAGTGAGCCACGAAGCCGGCGCGATTACCTGTGTGAACGTTCCCTTTGCCTCCCGTTTCCTGTTAACGGAAACATAAAATGCCAGTGAGAAACGGAAGCTTTCATGGCACTCTGTGCATTCCCTTCCAGTATCAAGTTCTGTTGCAAAAAGACGCAGCAGGAGGCTGTTCTCTGCGTTCACTGAGGAGCGCTTGGTTTTTCTGTGCGTGTTAAAGAATGTTTGCTTAATGAAAGACAATGCTGGATGACTGAAACTCTCAGCTACTGGGTCGTCTGACTTGGCAAAGCTGCCTTTCTCAGTGACGGGGGCTGCAAGCCCTTGTTTTGCTTCATGACACGTGCTGTATGTAACTTGCAGTTATTTAAGTGATGCTCGTGAGTGAGCCACCCCTACCTGGTAGCCAATGAAGGTTAAAGCCTGGCCCGGTTCCATCCAATTTAAGTCGGGTCCTGTCTGCATCCCACTCGGGCCCGGCTGCTCTGCATCTCGAGAGGAGTCCCTGGAACAGGGGAGCCAGGAGGCAGTCGGGTGAGTGACTGTTGAAGCCGGGCAGGCAGAGGTTTCTGGAGCTGAATTTGTGTTCGGAGAGCTTTGCAGTATGAAGGGAAAGGAGAGATGTTCTTGGGGCACAATAATGTTACCAAATGCTTACATGTTACCCCTTCGCTCGCTCTTTATGGCTGTTAGTGGTTACCTACAAATGTGTGGACGGGAGAGGAATCTTTTGGTTGATTTGGCACTTACTATAGCCTAGAGTTTGCGAAGGATCTGAGCGACTGCAAGATCGCGGTGGTGACGGTGTCAGCTCTGGCAACGGCGAGCAAGAAGGGCTGCCGCCGCCGCGCGGCCTGGTGTTGTGAGCGGGGTATGGCGTAGCAGCAATTTAAGGAAAACGGTTCTCACCTTCCGGGGGCTGCCGGGGGGCTGCCGGCCGAAGGTCCTGCGCAAAGCTCTGTCTCTGTTTGCAGCTGAGAGCGAGTCAGGAAAAAGGAAGGGTATTTCTGGCACTGAGCAGAGCCCCCCCCCATCCCCTCCCGAGGGTCCGGGGGACCCGGTCCCAGGGCAGGATACGTCTCACCGACCTGGAGGGCGGCCTGGACCGTCTCCCGCTGCCTGCGCTCGAGCCTAGAGTTTGCGAAGGATCTGAGCGACTGCAAGATCGCGGTGGTGACGGTGTCAGCTCTGGCAACGGCGAGCAAGAAGGGCTGCCGCCGCCGCGCGGCCTGGTGTTGTGAGCGGGGTATGGCGTAGCAGCAATTTAAGGAAAACGGTTCTCACCTTCCGGGGGCTGCCGGGGGGCTGCCGGCCGAAGGTCCTGCGCAAAGCTCTGTCTCTGTTTGCAGCTGAGAGCGAGTCAGGAAAAAGGAAGGGTATTTCTGGCACTGAGCAGAGCCCCCCCCCATCCCCTCCCGAGGGTCCGGGGGACCCGGTCCCAGGGCAGGATACGTCTCACCGACCTGGAGGGCGGCCTGGACCGTCTCCCGCTGCCTGC